ATATTCTCTGTCACCCGGTCAGTCACCAGGTTTTTGGGGCTGTCAATGTCTGGAAGGAAATGTTTGGAAAAGTTTAAGCTCTGAAGCCATGGAAGGCATAGTCAGCCCCCCATCTTCATCATTTTCATCTTCCAGAGCTCCTTTAGAACAAGGCAATGGCATTCTCATCCTGAGTCTCCACTGGGAGTCTAGGGAGAAAGTAGCCCTTTGTTCTGAATTTCAAAGGAGGAATCATTATAAATAAGGCATTCTTTCTTGGCTTTCAGTTCCCTAAAATGTGGGAGGAACGATGTCTTCTCAGCAGCATATGGTACATTATGACCTCCAATTAAACAGCTGCCATGACATTTAGGGCTCCTAACTTAACGTTTTATCAAGGGCTACTTCACTGATGAGTACTCTAAAACTATTATCACAAGCACTGCAATGACCAGATCCTGTACACATCCTCGCTGAGTCTGCTAAAAGCATTGTTACCATAAGACTTTACTTCTCCCTCGCAGTAGGCTGAGTGGTCTCATGAACAGCTCATCACTGTCAGGGAAGAGCGGCCCACTGCCATCACCACTAGGGCTCAGTCTTTCATCCTTAAGACTTCTAATTGCAAAGTCTCTCTGCTCAGGTATCCTTTGATACCATACCCACTCAAATCCACAAGCTCAAAACTCAATTCCAATTGACCATCCCTCTTTTGTTACCTGTCGGGGCCTTGGTGTCGGCCTTCTTGCTCTCTCGGTCCCCCTTCTGGGCCCACACGTGCACCATGTACTCCACGCCTGGCCTCAGGCCTGTCAGGACGGTGCCGCTCTGCTCCTTCCCCACCGGAACCTCTCTGGTCTCCTGGTCGTCAGCAGAGGTGTAGCGCACCACGTACTTGTCAATGGTGGCCTGCACCGGGTCCCAGGAGATGGTGGCAGTATTCTCTGTTACCCGGTTGGTCACCAGATTTGCTGGGCTGTCAATTTCTTTAAGAGAGATGAAAGGAGAATGTAGCCTTTACTACCCTCTAATTCCAGAAAGACCAGCACAGACACAGCCAAAATGATAACCTCAACAAATGCCAGAGTCTGTAATATGTCAGTGATAGAGTTAACATAAAGGTCTAATTAAGTAAATGATCTGAAATTCCAGTAATAAGCTAATAACATTTAATGAGAAGTAGAGTTTTCAGACAAAGCCACCATCTTGATTAACTCAATAAACTTTTCCTGTAAGTTGCTTTGGGATAAAAAGAATTGGTCTTCACATCCAAATTTCTCCTTTAGCCTGGATTTATATAATATATTCTTCTAGTTCCTGACTCCTTGTACTTGAAAGCAATTATAGTTAATAAACCTCTGCATCTGCTCTAATATGGTCTTTGAGAAGAAAAATATCATAGAAGTAGGAGCCATCAGTTCTTTCCATATAAAACATTATGTCTGAGGCCAGGGAATCAGGAGACTGTTTAATTGATAGTATCTGAGGTCTGGGCTAATAAAAAGAATCATACTTGTAGAACCTGTTTGGGTTTCTCTGTGATTAAACTGGGTTACAACCTGAGCTTCACCTTTTCCTGGTGGCTAACTGTGGACGAGCTGTGTAATTTGTCTGTCTCCTCAACTCTATGAAGAGAGAAATACCATATCCCCCTCATAGGCTATGGTGAGTACTAAATGAGATATTGCACAGCAAATACTTAAATATAAGTTGTTATTAATGGCATTGGAGGCAGGAAATACCACTTTCTCCACAAAGTGTACATCCTTAGAGAGTCAAAAATCCAAGCAATTATGTATATGGTTAGCATGTCTTTATTATCCTCTTTCAGAAACTACATCCTCAAAAAAGGCCATACTGGCCGGGCGCAGTGGCCCAGGCCTGTAACCCCAGCACTTTGGGAGGCCAAGGCAGGATTACCTGAGGTCAAGAGTTCAAGACCAGCCTGGCCAACATGGTGAAATCACATCTCTAATAAAAATACAAAAAATTAGCCAGGTGCAGTGGTGCGTGCCTGTAATCCCAGCTACTCAGGAGGCTGAGGCAGGAGAATCACTTGAACCCGGAAGGTGGAGGTTGTGGTGAGCCGAAATCATGCCATTGCACTCCAGCCTGGGTGACAGAGCAAGACTCCATCTCAACAACAACAACAACAACAAAGCTGTACTTTTTGTGATAGCACCTGCATTTCATATCTGCACTGGACCACTTGCCAAGAGTGACAGGCCAGTATGTGGAATGCACAGCCACGTGCAATGACTCGCCCTAGGGAACAGAGTTCGGCACGCACCACAGACATCTGACGGGAGGACAAATGATTTAGTGCCCAGGGTTCTGAGCTGGCTTCATCCTTCACTAGTGCACCAAATGCACAGACCATTAAAACCCCTGGACATTACCTGTCATACTCTCACACCTTAGCTTCTGCATATGCTGCCTGCACCCTAACTGCCACCCGTCCCTCTAGGCTTTATTCAGGTGTCCCCTCCTCCCCCAGCCCGCATGGCCCCTCTCCTGTCCCAGTCTGTGGTAGGTCCCCTTTCTTCAGGTTCCCATAGCTCCAGGGATTTTTGTTTGCTCTAGAACATAACTCATTGTCCTTTATCTTTTCCTTCTCTACCCAAAGGATTGTGAATGCCACACGAGGGGAAACCACGTCCTTCATATTTGTCCCCCCCAGGGCTCAGCTCTGGTCTGACTCCTTCCCAGTGGTCACAGAGGCTCCCTGCTGCTCACACCATTCCCGACTAAGAAAAGGGAAGGTTCTTCTCTATTCCAAATTCCTTTGTTTTAAAAATGCCGACCCAATTGCTCTTTCTTTTCACAATATTCAAAATCCTAGTAAACAGAGTCAAGTGTAATGTAAACCAGGAGGGGCAATCTACAACCCACAGGCCAAATCTGATCCACTGCCAATCTTTGTCAACAGGGTTTAATTGGAACACAGTCCGACCAGTCCATTTACATATCATTGTCTGCGGCTGTTTTCACACTCCAGTGGCAGAGTTAAGTAATTCAGTAAAGACGATTGGACCCCCCCAAAGCCAAAAATATTTACTCTCTGGCGCTTTACAGAGATTTGCTGACTTTGACTTTAAACAGATTTAGATATCACCATCCTTACTGTCTACATCTTCTCTGCTCCCCTGAAGGAGAGGTCAACTCTGGAGGCCCACGTGGATCCAGGAGGCTGCGCACCACAAAATCTTTCAAGGACTAAATACTGACTAACATTCTAAAAACTCACTGCTCTCACTTAAGCCACACTCACTATGTTTTAGGTACTTTATATAAATTAACTCATGGAACCTTCCCAACAACGCTGTGATGGAGATGCTCATATGCCCTCATTTTACAAATAAGAAACAGGAAGGGGAGTAAAGTAACTTGCCCAAAGCCACTCAGTCAATGGCAGAGCTGGGGTTAAAACCTGGACAGTCAAGCTTCTGAAACCATATTCCTAACCACCTCTCTGCTTCGCCGAGAGTCTCTGTACTCAGTGACTGTACAGAACAGAATGCAAATAACAAGCGAAGCCTTCCCCTCTGATTTCCTGCCAGGTGTTTTAGAACCTCAGGCGGGCTCCAGGATCAGGCTGCTCTAAATTCAGAGAAGCACCAGAGGAGGATTTAAGCAGAAAGAATGGCCGGGCTATGTCCCAGTATAGTCCCAGGACCCCTGCCAGCACAACCTGAGCAGAGTGACTGGGTGAAGTATGAGAACCCTCATGGTTTCTGAACGCTGAAAGGAAGAATTGGTCCATTTAGTAAATGTTGACTCAGGACGCAAACCATTTCCATGGTCTAAAAGAGAGCTCCAGATTACATGCAAAGTGCCTGTACAGCCACTGCAAACTGAGATAAGCATTCAGATTCACTGTCAGCCCAATGTTTTGAGTTTTCACATCTAAAAGATGAAAATTATAAAGTGTTACCCTATTCTGAGGGGGTTGCGTACGGAATTTCCACTCAAATAAGTATGACCTTCTGTATCAAGTGAAAAAGCTGGTCTCTTTTGTTTGAGGTTAAGAAGGAAAGAAATTATAATTATGAAAATCAAAATTGCTTTTGCAACCCTCCTCCCGACTCCTGCAAACAAAAGAGCTGATGCCAGGTGAGCAATGACCTCCTGATTCAAAAATCAACCTTCCCCCTGCCTTCCGTTACCTGTGAGGGCATTGGTGTCAGCTTTCTTGCTCCCCTGGTTGCCCCTTTCAGCCCACACGTAGACCGTGTATGCCTCTCCTGGCTTCAGGCCCGTCAGGACAGTGCTGCTCTCGTCCTTGTGCACTGCCATTTCCTCGGTGTCCCCATCAGCAGAAGTGTAGCGTACTACATACTTGTCTATGACAGCCTGCACTGGGTCCCAGGAGACCGTTGCTGTGTCTTCAGTCACTCGATCGGTGATGACATTGGTTGGACTGTCAATTTCTTCATAAAAATGCATGAGAAAGAAAAATCAGAGGAACTGGTTGGTTGGTCAAGATCATGGATTGTTAAAGATCTAGTTCACCCGGGTGACCTAGTTCAATCGTCTACACAATGCAAGGGGCTCTCTCAGTCATCAGTGACAGATGGACAACTGGCTTCTGCTTGAACCCTAAACCGAAAAAGGACTCTCTGATAGACAACACAATCCATTCCATTTTCAGACCTCTGAACATATTAGAGAAAACTCCTTCCAGTGTAACTCCTTCCAACTGTTTACCCTAGGTAGACAGAGTGAATACATTTAATTCCCTTTCCAGGACACCAACCAGCAAGTATTCAAGAAGAGTCATCATCCGCCTTCCTAGTTCTCTTCAAATCAAAACAACATCACCCCACCCATTCATTCCTTCCAAATTACAGTTTCCAGACCTGGCACTTATATCTATACATGCTCTTCTCTTTCTCTTTTCAAATACAGATCTCCAAAACTCAGCTCATTCATTCAACAGCACATCCCTAAGCAACAATTACATGCCGGAATGTAATGACATTCAGGAGTTATCAATGAGCAAAACAGTCAGAAATTCCGCCAATGTGGAGTTTATATTCAAAAAGAACCCAGAACAATATGCCAGCTATGTCCCCGACACTGTGCTTCCCAAGAACATAGCCTGAGCCCATGACCTTAGAAAATCCCTCGTTTTTTTCACACATATCCCTGTTAAGCCAAGGTCCTGCTACATGTACCCAGGGAACAGCACGGAGGCCAATGCATCTAGACAGAGTTAAGTCAAGCGGCTGGAGGGGATGCCAGTGAAGTGAGAGGGACAGTGGACTGTGGATGGCCTTGAAGGCCATTGTAGTGACATTGTCTTTCACACTAAGTGAGATGAGAAGTCTCTGGGGGCTTTGAAAAGAAGAATGACCTGATCTGACTTTGGCTCAGAGGATCCCTGTGGCTTCTGGGGAGAATGCTGATTCTAGCAAACCAAGAGTGAACGTCACCTAGGCGGCTGCTTCAGTGCTGTATATGCAAGATGGCAGGGGTGCAGGCAACGGCAGCAGTGATGAGGGTCACGGGGAAGGCTGGCTTTGAAGAGCTTTCAAAGGTAAAGCTGTCCTGATCTGCTGATGGATTCAATATGGGATACAATGAATGATTTGTTGGCTTTGGGCCTGAGTAATTTGAAAAGTGGAGTGGCCATTTATAGAGACAGGGGTACGTGAGGGAGGGAAGGGTTTGCAGTAGGGAGTAGGGAGAGGAAGAGGCCCAAGAGTTTGCTTGTGGATACATGAAGTGGTAGAGCCAAGATTTGAACCCATTCCTACCTAAACAAAGACTGTATGTTTCCACTTTATACCTCTATGTCCTAAGCAGCACTATCAATAGGATTTTCCTTTGAAACTCATAATAATAATAAATTATAAATAAAAGAAAGTGTGATCTGAAAGGTTACTGTGACCTGAAATCCAGCAGTAGTAATAGACAATTTCTCTCTAGGGAGAGAAAATGGTCTTGAACTATTGCCTTGTAAGACAATAGTCTCACTGTGACTGGCACTGTGAGCTTGGAGACAATAGTCTCACAACAGTCTGCCACTTGTGGGCCTCCAGGAATGACAGGGCAGACAATTAGGGTGCAGGCACCCACCATCTGACCCCATGGCCAGGGCCTCTGGAGGCTCCAGCAGGCTCTAAGAGGACACTGTGGGAAAGAGTGTGATGATAGAACTCTCTCCCCATCTTTCTGTGTAAGACGTGATTCTGCATGTGACAGGGAGGAGATGACAAGAGCCATCCAAAAACAGTATCTCAATCTGGAGAAATTAGTGACAGAGTGGGAATGGAAAACTAAGGACGCAGGATGAAGCGAGCAAGATCATCCCAGCGGTCCTGCTCTTGAAGTTCATGGCCCTCACCTTCTCTAAAAGTCTGTACCCGTACAAGTCCAGGTCCCAGCAGTGCCTCCCACCCCATCTTCCTGCCCCAGATCAGTGCTTGCTACCACTGCTTCTGGGGTCCACAGGAGAGGCCTGTGGCTTTGTGGGCTTGGTGCTGCCTGTGTGTTTTGAAAGATATCTCACAGCTGGGCACAACAGCTCCTACCTGTAATTCCAGCACTTTGGGAGTTCAAGACCAGCCTCGCCAACATGGCAAAACCCTGTCTCTACTAAAAATACAAAAAATTAGCAGGGCTTGGTGGTGCACACCTGTAATCCCAGCTACTTGGGAGGCTGAGGCACGAGAATCGCTTGAACCTGGAAGTCAGAGTTTGCAGTGAGCCAAGATCACGTGCTGTAATCCAACCCAGGTGACATAGCAAGACTCTGTATCAAATAAATAAATAAATGCAATAAAGATTCGTCACATCCACATGAGTGAAAGGAGGAACCAGCAAAGAGCCCTGTAGCTCCTTTCTCCCCTAACAGTCCCAGAGCACTCGAGATGGAGAAGAACCAGGAAACAGCATCTTAAATGTTGAGAGTAGGAAGGTAAAACTGAATCGTATTATGCCCAGGGTCATAGGAGATCTGAAGGTTTAAGCCCAGAAAGGAGATGTGACTTCTCCAAGCTCACAGTGCCAGTCACAGCTCTCAGCCCCTTGCCTTCCCCTTTCTCTCAGTTCTCAGCAACTCAACTCAGAAGGGCCTCTTCACAGAGCTTGTTCTCCTTGACCATTCCCAGGATGAGGATCAGATGCTGAGATACGGGAATGGGAGGAAGGCCTCAGAGATGATACTTCCATGATAGGCCACATTGCTGAACGAGGCCAACGTTGCAGGACTGAAACCTCTCTCTCTACCAAAGAGGGATGTGGGGATTATGAAATAGTTTTCCATGCAAGGAAGCCTTCCAGCAGCTGCAGCAGCTAACAAAATCACAGATGAGCCACAGCTGTAGCCCCTGCTACAAGACAGGCTCTCCCCACCCTGGTCCCGACATCCTCCCTGGAACTTCCCAACTGCTGGACATTAGTAGCCCTGGTGGGACCTTTTCCAGGGCCATTGGAGGTCAGAGAGATGTAAGGTAAGGTTTGTAAAACTGGATAGGTGGGACTTACCTGTGAGTACATATGTTAGAATCAAGGAGTGCTTCACTTCAAAGAGATCTCATTTGCAAAACATGAACATAGTATATGGAAGAGGTTAATTAGAAGCGCTGTTCACATTAGGAAAGCTTATTCCACTTTATAACAAGAATTAGCCACAGGGTTGGGTAGGGAATGGCTGTCTTCAGTCTAAGCTGTAACACCCAGCAGCCCATGCTCACACTCCAGCACGCAGTCACAGGCATTACGAACAGGTTTCTCCACTAATAATGTCCACCTGTGAATCTCCCAGTTGGTGCAGGAGAAGACGGCACAGACGGAATGTAAAACTGATGAGAAACAAGCTTGGTGGAAGACGTGGAAACAGGGTCTGCGTCATTGATTTGAAGGTGGGTACATGGAAGGGGTGCCTTGGGACTATGGTACCTACGCATTCTGTGGTCTTGTTTACACAGACCCCCTCTAATGTATTTCCATGTGGCAACAAAATTATCTGAAAGCCATCATTTGTCGAAAATACAAGCAGAGAGGTCAACCCTTCTTCCTGTTGTCCCCTAGCTTTGCTTCTAGAAAGGTTGTCAACTTTGATTTCAGGCGAACCTGGGTTTAAGTGCCAGCTGACTCTTCACTAGCTCACCCTGAGTCTGCTAAGCTTTGTAGACCTCAACGTTCTCATATGTAAAATGGAAATAACAATGCTTACAATCCTATTAATATTATGAGGACCAGAGATAATATTTACAAACGCTCACGGTACACAGAAGCCCAGTAGAATACAGTGGCTGTGCAAATGATACAGGTCATTGTTGTCCAGACGCGGAATGTGTGTATTGGTGGCTGTGTGTGAGGCAGGAGTTCTGAACGGTAACAGGAGCTCAGCCTAGGACATGAAGGCGTTTCCAAAGAAAGTTTTAGGGGCTAAGCCATTTCAAATGGAGCATTGTGTTTGGAAATGCTCCAAATGTAAAAAGAGAAAAAGATATTAAGAAGAGCAAAACTGCTATTTCACAGCATCGTCTAAAGAGGAAAGTTATCAGAAAGTTGATGACAAGTGAATATGCTAGGTCATAAGCTCTGCTGTGCATAGGAGCTTGTGAAATCATAAGCAAGCATGCTTTGTGTTATACACACCAGAGAAAAGCATGAAGATATTAAAAGAAAACCATCATTGTAAGAAAAACAAGAGAAAGGACTTTTAAACTCATTTAGTCCAGCTCTCCATTTTACAGATGGAAGACAAAAGAATGATGTCACCTCTCAGTAGCCTCCCTTTCTTGTCATTCGATGGGAAGCACAGCTGTCAGGGTATGATGCAGAGATCCAGGGACATTCCCCTGCCCCCATCCCCCAGAGACACTGGCCTGGCGTATGCTTGCTGCTCTTGAAGCTGACCTGCTTCTGAAGCCCGGCCTTTCTGGAAGGTGTTCCGGGGCACTTGGAGTGTTACCTATAACAGGGTGAGGAATCTCAGCCAACCCTTTCCCTGTCAAGGTATTAGTTCCACTGGGTGCCTTATTAAATGGAAAACACCTGAACGGTATCCTTTCCTCCCTGCACATGCTTAGGGTGTTCTTAAGTTCCAGCATCCTTTTCCACCCGGTGGGATGCAAAACGTTTGGAGAAAACAAACTTTTCTTTTCCCTTAAATTAATTAACAGTCTAGCCAGGTTTAAGAGTGTTTCCTGACCCTGTAAATTACAGGGGCTTTTTCTTTTTTATGCTGGAAAAACACATGACACAAATTGATTTGCAATCCAATAAAATATTCTATCCTGGCTTTAGGGTATAATTGACAACAAAAACACTTCTGAGTAGTAACATTCCACTACACGTGAAAGGCTAACTAGCAATTCAAAGCCATAAGTGATTAAATGCTCTCGAACCTCAGAGGCAAAGCTGGCTGACATTTGATGCAGTCATTGAAGGCTGCAGTAGAGAAACTGAGGGCAGCCTGGAAGGATATGTCATATTATCGCTGTGATCCCCTGAAGGATGAGGGCCATGGCTTATCGGCTCTGGAAGTTTCTAAAGGGACCCGGTCTCTTTGGCCCAGATGCATCCTGCAATAAATGTTTCATGAATTGAATTAATTTGTAGCTAGAAATAATAGCAAGGGTTTTTTAAGCTGAAGTAACAACAGAAACCCACTTGCAGAGATAAGCCTTCTGTTAGGGAACCCCAAGAACAGTCTGGCTATGAGAAGGCTTTCCCTGGGGAAGTAATAACAGCCCAGACTGGACGGGCCACTGAGGCCAAGATAAAAGCGTATGCCGCCTCCTCGGTCAGTGAGGAATTACAGAAAAATCTTCAGTTAGGAAGCAATCAGTATGAAAATTAACTAGAAATAATGGGCAAGAAGGATGGGAGTGTAATATTATGACCTATAACAAACACGTTTGGTCTGGGTCCCCTCATTCCTGGCACACAGCTCGTAAAACCCTTGGAATCTCCAAAGTGAGGTGTCTTTTTGCATGTTAATGACATGACTGCTGTAAGGGGGGTGCTCCTGGATAGCCTCAGAAAAGAGGGGGCTTTCCAGGGAACCAGCCTTATGATTAGAGGATTGGAACTTCCAGCCCCACCTGCCCACCCTCCTAATGAGGGAGAGGAGAGAGGTGCTAATGGTTGCTAAGGTTGAGTTAATCGCCAGTGGCCAATGATGTAATCAACCATTCCTCTGTAATGAGGTCTCCATGAAAACCCAAAAGGACTGGGTTGAGAGAGCTTCCTGGCTGCTGAACACGTGGAGGTTCAGGGAGGGTGGCACACCCACCGAGGCCGTGGAAGCACGCACCTTGACGCATCGCTTCCATCTGGTTCTTCAGCTGGATCTTTGTAATAGTCTTGATTGTAACAAATAGGTAAATGTAAGTCAGGTGTTTTCCCTGCGTTCTGTAAGCCGCTCTAGCAGATTAATGGCACCTGAGGAGAGGAGTCATAAGAACCCCCAATTTAGAGCCAATTGGTCAGAAGTACAGGTCATAACCTGGGGACTGTGACAGGCATCTGAAGTGAGGAAAGGCTCGTGGAACTGGGCCCTCAACTTGTGGGATCTGATGCTATTTCCAGGGAGAGAGTGTCGGACATGGATTGAATTATAGTACACCCAGTTGGTGTCTGATGGAAAACTGCCTGGTGTATGGGGTAAAATCACTTCCAGAGGTGAAATGTTCTGTGCTGTGCTGACTGTGTAAGAGAAGAAAACGTGTTTATCTCTTAAAGGAGGCTAAAAGTGAGAAGCCCTTTAGCTTTGTAGTGTGAAAGGAAAATTAAAAACTCAGGACCCCAATTCACTCTGCCAAAAGGAAAAAATGAAGCTGAGTTACGCAAGAAGCTACCTTTCCTTTGTCCCTACGCAGGCTACAGATAAGTTTAAATATCGCCACAGGTAGCTACTCCATGTTCACCTTAACCTATGAAAAGTGCAAATTTGCTGAATACATAATTGACTATCCCCCTACCTGCTCCTTTTCTCCGGCATCATGGGAATCATCATACCCCGCCTAGTTCCTCTCCAGCCCACTTTTCCCATTTAATATTGAAGCCTTCAACCTTCAAAGGCTTATACTTGGGTATCTTGGGTTCAAACCCCACCTCTGTCCTTTCCTGGCTGGGCAATCTTGAGCTTCACTTCTCCAGTTATCTTATATATGTCAAAGAAATAATATCTACTTCATAGGATTGCTGTGAGAACTAAATGAAATATTCATAAAAAGTAGTTAGTGATTATAATGCCTGGCACTTAATAAGCTCTCAATTAACTCATAGCTACAGGGAATACCCCTGGAAACACAGAAGTACTTACTATTTTCCAACTTGTTAAAATGCGTCACGAGTCCACGACTCTGACAGACCGTACAAGTCTACATTGTCTAGTTTGTAAATTAAGTTATATCGTCTCCTTTATAGTTGCCCAACTATCACTCTTTCATACTCCAAATAAGCAATCTGTTAAGCAGCTGAAATAGTGAATTCAATTCTCACAACATCTCATCCCTTATTCTCACACCATAACCAGCTATTTCCAGGGCTGAATTGGAAAGAACTAAAAAAACTTTTCAAGGAAGACTCAGAACTCAAAGGCTCCAAGGATTGGTCTCCCCAAGTGGCACTCTAGGTGACGGGTTTCCAGCGTGGGGAAGGCAGGAGCACAGAGTTAATGAGGAAATTCAGAATTCGATATGGGCTCAAACATTGCTTAAAAACTAAAAGTTACTTAGGATGCCTCATACGTATGCCTACCATGTTTTCAAATTCTGTTCTGATTAACCAGTTACAAACATATTGTCAAATGTGACTGATCTGTAACCTTTTATCATTATATATTTTCCTCAATACACAGATGACAACATATCTCTACTCCCATGTGAGAGTTTTTAATATCTTCTGACATTTTAGAGACATCTGCTTGAGTGTGGTCATCAGGAACTAACACAGGTGTGGCATGAAGAAAATTAAAGATCACTTGTCTTTAGGGAATAAGGAGCTATGTGCCTATGTCTTAGTTGATAAACGCCTTAAAAACAACGCAGTGATGGAAGCTATTAACATAAGCAAAAGGGTGTCAGGCACGGTCTTGTCCCTTAACTCCAAGACCCTGGGGGAGATTTTCAATGGCAAGAAAAATTTGAAATAGGAATAGTTTGCTTCCCTTTCCCTGCCCAAAAATAGATGTAGTACTTAAAGGGACAGACTCTCTCTACATGCAAATCCCAGAACTCTTATCCAGAGGAGTCAGCCAGGAAAATGTCAGAACGCAAACATGATTAAATGTCCATAGGGCCTCCAAGTAGCTCTCACCTGTTCTGCCATTCAGGAGAATCGGCTTGCCCTCCAGTTCTCCTCGCATGGGCACCACTGTGATCTTATATTCCGTCCCCGGGTGCAGACCTGGAAACAAGCAGGCAGCGTGGGATGTGAGTGCAGGCTCCAGACCCCTCCTCCCAGCACTGCTCCTCCCCAGGATTTCTCCCGTGAGGGAAAGATGAGGGGTTATGCTTCCTCCTACAAAGATAAATCCGTATCTGCAGGCGAATAAAGTCCCGCAGGTGCATTGGAACGTGAGGTGCCACTGAGGGAGCCTATCGGTTGGGGATGGGAGTTGGGTGTCGTGGGAACAAGTGAGATGAAGCCGATTGAAATGCATTTCAGGTGTTCTCCACTTCATCATTGGGCCACCTAGCACTTATTCCCCAATTTTATCCCCCCAAAGTGTTCCTGTTCCCAGCAATCGTTTTCCTTCCAAAGCTTCTCTCCTTCTCATTGTAATATTTAGCCTACATTTTTCCTATTTATTTATTTATGTATTAGAGACAGGGTCTCACTGTGTTGCTCAGGCTAGCGTGCAGTGGTGCGATCCCGGTTCACTGGAGCCTCAACCTCCTGGGCTCAAGGAATCCTCCTGCCTCAGCCTCTCAAGTAGCTGGGACCATGGGTGTGAGCCACTGTGTCCAGCCCTTTTTTAAAAGAAGTTTTTTCTCTGTAAAAGCAACTAGAATTATTGTTCCTTGGGGCACCAATGTTCAGACTCCGGTGGTAAAATGCAGACAAATGGCAGCTTGTGTGAGACACACACCCTCATTCTTCACTCCACAAACACTAAGAACCCCAAGATGTCCTGTCAAGATGGAACTCAAGGGGTGGATGGCAGAACAAGGCTCCAGGAGAGAATCTGCCATGAAGCTAATTAGCGCCACGCTTTCATGGGCCTATTCCAAGGCCTTGTACCTGATTGGATATTGATGATTGTGTATTACTTTTCTTAAAGAGGGCCCTGGAATTGTACAAACTTCAAGCACTGCCAAACTTGATCCATCCCTGCAGCCTTGTTTCCTTAGCAGTCGTCAGAGCTCCAGCTCTTGGCAGGATTAGCTCAGAAATCTGAGATAGGGAGCCACCCTACTCACTGCACCCTGCCCCTCTAACCCCCAACACAACCCTTCCGTGCATCCACCTTCCTCCCTCCCTCTCTCTCTGCCTCCCTCTCTCTCTGCCTCTCTCCCTCTCTCTGCCTCCCTCTCTCTCTCTGCCTCTCTCTCTCTCTGCATCCCTCTCTCTCTGCCTCTCTCTCTCTCTGCATCCCTCTCTCTCTGCCTCTCTCTCTCTCTCTGCCCCCCTCTCTCTGCCTCCCTCTCTCTCTGCCTCTCTCTCTCTGCCCCCCTCTCTCTCTGCCTCTCTCTCTCTCTCTGCCTCTCTCTCTCTCTGCCTCTCTCTCTCTCTGCCTCTCTCTCTCTGCCTCCCTCTCTCTCTGC